CCGTTTGTAATAATGTCAAATTATAATTTATTGCACAGTCCAGCTCAAGGTGTATGAACGGTTTAGTCCTACAGAGACGTATTATTGCAGTCAAAGTTTTTGAGGAACCAGCAAAACCATATAGGTTATAAATGGTTAAAAAATCTGTTCGCATTGCGTAATCAAGAAATGTAAGCGATATTTAGTGTGCACTCTCTTGAAATCCGATGATTATTCAAAACTACTGAAATACTCTATAAACTAAAACATCAGGTTCAACTTTTCCTCTGAGATTTCGAAAGTCATCTCAGATGATCAATGTTTTGATTGTAATCCGTTAAAAGAGAAAGATAATTGATTGTTCAGTCGAATCACAACACCAACAAGAAACCATCATCAAAGACCACAAGAAAATTCATCCTACTACATATAAAACAGTATCTCTGAAATAACAGCTAGAATAATAAAACCATTTGAAATAGATATAGCACACAAGCCAGTTAAATCACTTAATTCAATATTGTGCATTCCAAAGGATCCGACAGAAAAAACAGATAAAATTAATACCATTTACAAAATAAATTATATGAACTGTCACAGACATTACATCGGCCTAAGTTGGTGTCCGCTTCAAATCAGAATCCAGGAACACAAATCAGCTGTGAAAAGACATGATGTATATTCTTTCATATCAATGCATATTTATAATTCTGGACACCATTTTGATTGGGATAATGTCGAAATTTTAGACAGAGGAAACACCAAAAGCGCCACAGAATTCCTAGAAGCCTGGTACTCAAACGAATACGCGATTAACAAACATGGTAATATAGACCAAATATGCCAACTAATAAAAAGTGAATCATGTGACGAGAAAGTTTAAAATCCAAGTCAACAAAAAATGATCAGTTCATATGTAAAGATGGTTACCGGGAGACGCAATCCTATCACTCATGGAAAATTTAGATAAGTTCACTTTATACCAAAAATTGCGCTGAAGATGTTGTCCAGAATGGACGACGAAAGCACCGCAACTAAACCAACCAGGTCAGAGAACACTACTAATTGCAGATCACCAGTAATCACTTCATAAGATGGCTTATATAAAATAGTTATCTACCTTCAGAATTTATCAATGCTAATTAAAGTTATTTTCTATTTTTAGTAAATGATTAAAGCAAAGAGACTAACGAAAGGCATTTCACTTTAATTATTTTAAATTTGTTAAAGTAATTAGCGTGTCAAAGGAAAGTAGCTTTCTATATATTTTGTTATCATATAATGTAGAACAGTTTGGTGGTTGTACGTCACCTTCTTTAAATAGCAATATAATTAATTCTGTTAGAATTGAGCAAATTTATACACATCTTTTATTTTAAAGTGTCAATAAGAAAAATATTCAGTATCCAATTAGTAAATATTTAAACTATTTATCAGAGTTGTGAATTGAGTAAGCACAAAATGCAAAACGAAGTGAAATAATACATAGCTCACCACTAAAATTAGTTATATATATATATATATATATATATATATATATATATATATATATATTAAATCAACTGTCAGGGTTAATTAAATATTTCTAAAAAGGTGATTTTGTAATCTAATCGATTTTAATGACTAGTGAGAATTTAACCAAGTATCTTTCCTGGTCCTCTCATGTCTTAGCGATTTCTAAAAGAATATTTCGTTTGACTTTTTACATTAAGAAGTTAAGGCACTCAGGCATAAATCAACCACTCCTCTTACAGTTTATCAACTCGTGTATTTTACCTATTCTTCTTTACTGTTCACCATTATTCTTTCCTGGATTGCTTAAAAAGGACTATGTCATACTTCGTAGAACTCTGAAGACTGTCAGTAGGACGAGTGGTATCCCATTGGGCCATATCGTTGACATTGTCACTGACAGGCACTTGATGTCATGCAACAAATTCGCTAAAGGAATTTTGTCAGACTCTGAGTACCCACTCTACACGCAGCTCCAACCTTGTGTCTCCTCAGGTAAAACAAGAAGTCTGTTCAGAAAAATTTATGCATGTACCTCTAAGTATAAAAATTCCACTATACCATATTTAGCACGTACTTTATATGATGAAAATACTGTCAGACATGAACTAACTAACTTTCTTTGCACTACTAAATAAACCATTTCCTTTACCCTTAAAGCATCATTCTTTATTCCATATTAGTTTGTTTATTAGGTATATCACACAGTGAAACAGTATTATTTACTGGATGACATTTCGAACAAAATTTATTGTTCATAATCATATCAATTGAACAGCTAGTAGCTAGCTGAACATAAAAACCTAGCGAAATCTAGATTGGTTGACCCGAATAAGATAAGAAATCTAGAGAATAGTTCAACTATAGCACTACATGCAGTCACACAAAACCATACAATAGGATGGGATAGGATGACAGTTTTAAAATCTAATGTCACAGGGCATAGGGAGAGATTGATAACAGAAGCTTTGTTTATCGAATCAACTACAAATACATGTAATAGGAATGATTCATCACCTGTCCCCGATATCTGGAAAATTCTACTACCCATACGACGAATAGGAGAGAACAAAGAAAACTATAAAACTCAAGTGTCAAAGTCGTGTGATCACAATTGATACGATTATGAACAATAAATTTTGTTCGAAACGTCATCCAGTAAATAATACTGTTTCAGTGTGTGATATATCTAGTAAACAAACTAATATGGAATTACTTACTACCACAGTGCCCAAGGTTTACACATACATCATTCTTTATTGTTATTGTATTTCTTATATTTATAATGCTCTCAATTTTTCGTTTTGTTTATTTTTTTTTCATAAGTGTGGACATAATTTTAAGCTGTATTATAACTGTTAATTTTGTATTTCCCCTCACTATACTATATCAACAGAACATTAGACCCAATAATTTATAACATGCTGAAGTTCCCAAACTGAATCGACAAAACCGTTTGAAACAAACTCACTATTATTATTATTATTATTATATCTAATAATGTCGTAAATGTGGACAAATTCCTCCGATTAATTTTGTTTTAATTTTTAATTTTATATATATTTTGAGTAAATCAGATGCAATATTGTGACAAATGCTGAGAATTCCATTCTGAATTATAAGTATTGTTTTTGGAATAAAGTAAATTATTATTAAACAGAAACTTAATGTTACAGATACTGAGTCCCTTATTGATTGTTTGATATAACATGATGACGTAGTTAACTGATGATTATTCGCCTAACATGAAATATCAAAATACTGATAACCTAACCAATATGAATATTAGAATATAAAGGTAATAAGCAATGGAAGTGATTAAATAATGATGAAAGGATGTGATACTTGAGTTGCTAGAAAATATAATGAACACTGAACTATATGTAAACGTATTTCACTTGTAGAGATTTGTTTAATTTCGTGGTTTATTTTGTCACTAACTTGCATTTACTAGAGAGTAGTAGTAAAGGTAATCAAGAAGTACTTTTGTTTTACTGTGAAACTTGTCAGTGATGGGCTCTCCTAGAGTATTATGACAGCTGCAGTGTATTCAAAACAGGTAGCAGCTGAAAATAACATAAAGGTAGACCACAGATTAGTTGTTTTTTTAACTCGACGATATTGGTTTTGATCTAATTTGACTTATATATACACATGCATGCAGCAAAGTTCAAAGTTCAACAAATAAACTGATTACTCAATGGTGATTCTTTTCAAAGTACACCCTGAATTACTTAATTTACAAGTTATATATTATAAATTTAAATGGATAAAGTTTAGGTTCCTATTTCTCTCTAATTTGGTTATTACATTGATTGAGCTTAAAAGAATCGAAAAAAGGTATATCTGAAATTGAAGTCTACTGAATCGAAGAAATACTACTTATTTTTGAAAGTTATATATATAAATATCAGGTCAAATGACTAAAGCCCACTCTATTTTGACCCAGTTATATTGATTATTGTCAACTGTATCATATAAGATTTGGAAATAACAGTGAATGTATAGTCATTTCTTTGAACCCGATTTAACTGCTGTTGCTGCTGCTTCCACCTCACACCCATTTTAACCACCGGAACTCATGATCCTTATATGGGCATTATTTAATTTTGTGTATGAGTGCCATACGCAATTCGTTATGTTCACCTGTGTCCGTGAACATCCGCCCCATCGGTAACTTATAACAGTATGATCTATTTGAGTAACTGTGGTTCACTAGTATATCCGTCCTCATACAATAGTTGTGGTCCACTATCAGTCACACATGAACGCAGGTAGTTACTTAGTGCTTCTTCCTATTTAGAAGACAGATGGAGGGTGCCGTATAGCTGTACTGACTAGAAATAGGTTTTAGTTTGCGAAGAGAAGCAAAAGTCAGACCTCATTGACCATATATACCAGCCTCGCCTAGATGCCCAACCTGTGCATCCAAGTTTTACCAAGGTATATTTGTCTAGCACGTTAGTTTAGGTCGTCTAGGTGATAGTAGGACTCATCTCTAATTTGCATTCAGCTTAAATAGAAATGACTACAAAGTGACTTGTATGATTAGTTATTTTTTACTCAAATATACTCTTCTAGTCTAACAGCACGTAGACAATTTTTAGTGAGAGTGCAATCGAGTAATACTTCTGTTCTAGCTCCTAGTGTGACCATGACACCAGCTAAGGAAGATCCGATGTCACAGGGACCCCAGAAACGTTCACATGAAATGTAGTTTTGAGTTGAGTGCTGGAGATCTATGCAGGTCCCTACGGCGTAACATACATCAAAAGTGAGGCTTCGTAGGGTATTGCCAGTTGTATAATTTCCAAACCGTAGGGGGATACCGTAGGTGGCAACCTTGAACCTGGCATGTAATGTCAGAATAGCTATCTTAAATATCTCATTAGAAGCCAGCTTCCTGAAGGGATTTATTTGGCGACTCAAAATGATACTGATAGATCAAGATTTCAAACAAAAACGAAAACCAACAAAAATATAAAAAAGATAAAGTTAATGGAAACTTGAAAAGAAACCTAATAAAATATGAAAATAGCAGTATAATCTGTGTAAATTAAATGTCGAAATTATTCTTACTAAATATCTTATGAAATACTAGTTGGTGGGGAAATAGAATCGAATTGAGGCTTTTATTGAATTCATAGTAATACCATTTGATCGTACAGGAAAGTTTATAGAAGAGAATGTGCCATTTCCGGCTAAATGTGCTTTCATAAGTTGGTATGAATTTCTGTTCGTCAGTTGTATGTATTGTTGGTTAACTGCAGGATCTTTTTCAGCATACGACTGCTATTCGAACCACTATGAAGTCCTAGGATAATTGTGAAGTGATCTTCATTCTCGATGCAGAGCGATTCGTAGGTAAACTGCTTGTTTCTTTTTGATGCTTCGTCTAACATTTCTATTAGAACTTTAGATTGTTTCTGGATAGCTGGTGATTCATATTCCGTCCAAGCAACAAGCCAGTGAAGTGGCTTTTGCAGCAACACGCTTACATCATCTTGTGTGAAATGGCGGATAGGACTTACACACCAAGCCTCTTCAACTGATTTAAGTTTCAATGCTTTGTTCACATTTGTTCTAATGATTGGACGCAGGTCATATACACCCGAAATGAGAACAAGATTTCTCAAAGAAGTCAGCCAATTTTCATTTGCTGCAGCTTGCTTCTGAGCATGGTGTATCATTTCAAGTATCAAATGAGCCCCCGCGGAATGACCAACTAAGGTGATATTGAGTTTCTTAACATCCTGCTGGCTGAACATTTTTTGAGTAAGGTTTATAACCTTTTGCATTCCAAGACATAAACATTGTGGCATGAACTCGAGTTTTTCTTTAGGCGCTAGTTTATAGGCTAAAGAAACGAATATACAGTCGGCATTGACAATTGGAAGAGCCCAGTGACTACACTCTCTCCATCCAATAGATTTCCAATAACCACCATGAATATACACCACAATATTTGCTGGTAATACTGACCGATTTGCTGGGGGAAACCAATCGAAAGAATATTCTCCAAAACCATCTTCCTCAAGCACAATATCCTCACTGAATGGAACTCTGAAAACACCTCTATCCGAAAATAATGATCTTGACAGTTCACTTTGTTTAAGGAGAAGTGATATAAGGTGTTTGATTGCACCATCTCCGAAACAACCTGGTTCTCTAGTTTTGATAAGCCAATTTGTATTATTGTATTGATAATCCAATTCTGGATCAATTTCTGGTAAAAATTGACTCTCCATCATAATAAGGATTTTATAGTGAATATGCTAAGGCGAAATGTGTTCAGTTCAGTATACTAACTTTGACGGGTGTTTATTGACTTCAATAAATCCGTTTTTCAGTATAATGACAGTTGAATCAATCGGTGATATGACTGGATGAAATAAGTTCAGCTGTTATAAAGTCACGTAATATAATAAGCACTGGAATTGTTGTAAATTTATAGTTTGAGTCTATGCACGCATTATATGTTACTATATATACAGTAAAGCTTGACAAATCAGAGCTAAAGTTCACGTCATCAGGTCAATGAAACAAGATCATTGATGAGCATAAGTAAGATATTGTGTATGTGCATTTGTAAATGATAAAAATCACATTGGTTAGTAATAATCTGTCTGACAAGTTTAGTCTGGCATTCATATGAATACTTTTAACATATTTAAATTTAATTTGAAGAAAATATAGACTACCTGATGTATATGTTTCTTGTCAAAAACAAAACGATAGCCAGAATAAACGAATTGTTTAAGAGAAGATGCAGGCGATCAATATTTGTAATGCTACTTTGCTCAAAAAAAAAGTAAACCAAAAATTATATTTAGATTGAATATGCCTTCTGAATGAAAATTTTACTGACTCTCAAAGATAAAGTAGAGTCCTGATTTAATCAGAGTACAAAAGTTAGAAGGAAAATTCAGAACTGATCCTGTGTTTTCCAGATTTGTGCTTTTATCTATAGCCTGTGTTCAGTACTTTATCGGAATTTCGGCTATTTGATGATCTCTGAATTTGTTAAACGAAACGTAATTATGCATACCACTGCAACAAATTACTTAAGTGAAAGACCTACTCCTTGTAAACGTTGAGTCAGCACATTTTTGAAATCTTGAAAGGTACATCCTAGTCATCTTAATTTGTCACTGAAACCAGATATCATATTATTGCTTACACATTACAAAACATTTCAAAGACTGCACAAATGAACGATTCGGTATTACTCAGTTTAATAACATGTACAATTGTCCGTCGATGAGAAGCGATATCCAAAATATTGGACTACTTGCATCCTACTTAGATTAGTTTGAGCAGTCATACACTACTATATAGTAGTATACATATTGTTTCTTATGCTAAGTTCAGCAGATTGCCACACTGATTTCAGAGTAATGAAGGTCTGTGTTGCTTTTCCGATCCTGTATGTGACATCCTCCTCCGTGTCGCCTGTGGTTGAAACGATGCTGCCTAGATAAGTGAAAGAAGTGCCCACTTTCGGATTTGTCTCGTCGATAGTGATTAGTGCCTGTAGTTGGTTGGCTATCCTCGTCTCTGTTTTCTGTTGTTCATTTGAAGTCCTGTCTTTGCTGAACCTGTATCTCCACTTTCCTGTGAGTGATATGAAATGTATCTCATGTTTGGTGAGTCCTGTCAGGTCCCCAGACGACAACCGCTACCTTGTCGTGGTGGTCGGGCTTGAATACCACGATAATCCAACAGGCTGCACTGACTGGGACTTATGTTTCTGCAGGTCTTACCATGTCAGGAAGGTTGTTTGGATAGCAATTAGACTAAAAGCAGTCACTATGGGGTACATTGGCTCCAGAATCAAACCGGATCAAACGGTGTATGAACCTGTATTGGTCACCGGCAACCATGGGAATGTAGCTCCTGGCGCTGCTCCGCTGCTTTGCGGGTTAGACTCCAAGTCAAAGACTGTGGTCAAAGGTTGGTCGCTTAAGACAACCACCTGCTTCAGTCTGGGCGCCCGGGCAGTATCTCAGCCCTCACACAATCAATGAAATGAAGCAACAAACTGTCAGTGAAACTTATTGCGCGCTCTTAACATTGCTCTCAAACAATAATGATGTTTCAAGTGACGCATTTCTTTTCAACCTTATTTCTATACATAGACTCCCATGTTTTACTTTTGCTATCCTTGACGTCTTGACTTTTTCACTTTTGTCTGAATTCCAAGCCTATCAGTGCTGTTTCTAGATTTCAGTGAGTAGCCTTCGACAAATTTCCTGAAACCGCGTGTCACGTTCAAGCTTGCCACCTAAATTTCGACACTGATGCAAATCGAACAACAGACAGGTTCGGTAAGAACATTGGACAGCCTCGCTATCGTTGTGTACTGTATTTCGGAGACCCAAATTCAAAATCCCAGTGAAGTGCTTCGATTATCCTCTCCATCTGAAGGTTCGAATGGTATGTACCACCTGCGCTTGTCCGAGGACCCTGTGGTATCGGGATCCGGCGTAGCTGGTGTCGATGTGGCACTAAGTGCTAGAGACGAAGTTGGATTACTCGACTGAATCCCCACTAAAAGTCGTTTATGTGCTGTGAGGCTGGAAGCTTATACGAGAGTAAGAAGCGGTGTCTATTTGTTGTCTCTGCCTATGCACCGATGGACTGCAGTCCGGATTCAATTAAGGATGAGTTTTACTACCAACTGAGCGATCTCCTGAACCAGGCGCGTCAGAGTGATATCATATTGCTGGCTGGGGACTAGAATGCACAAACCGGGCATCTGGGGGCAAAAGAGATTCGTTTACGCAGTCAGTGTGGTTTACACGGTTGCAGGTCAGATAATGGGGACCGTCTTCTGCATCTTTGCACAGATCACAACCTATTTCTAGCCAGCACCAACTTTCGGTACAGCCATGACCGTAGCACTACCTGGCGTCCTCCGTCTAAGAATCAAGCATGGACTCAGATTGATCGTATTGCTGTCAGTTTCCGATGGCGAGGACTGCTTCAGCTTCTGGAGCACATGCCTGGACTCCGATCATGCGTCGTCTGAAAGCTGATATGAGCACACTGGTAGTATCTGCTACCTCTGTAAAATACCAGAATGAGTTGCAGTCAATGCTTGCTAGCAAACCCTGAGTAGTATAGATGAACATTGGCTTCGTCTGCAAGGTGCTGTGCAAATGGCAAGTGTAGCCGCTTGTGGCTTGAAATAATGCTCCGTTAACTACCACTGGGTTTCTGTGAGTTCCTCGTAACTCCTGGATAAACGCTGGTCCATTCCAGCTGGCAGCGAATGGCGCCTATGTGTAAGATTAGACAGTGCTAACGTAAGGACCGGGATATAATCAACTGCTGCATCTGGCAACAGTCGATAGCTGTTCCATCTTATCCGAGCCACCGGAGAGAAACAAGTGTTAGCGAGACGGTTTGTGAGAAAGATGGCACGCAAATTACCAGACTGTAACGCTGGACAGAGCACTTCGAGAAGCAGTTTAGCTGGGCAACATCTACCGCCATCAGCTACGGTGCTCCTCGGTCGGTCAATACTGACCCGCCAATCTAAGTGGAGGTCCGGAAGAAACTCCATAAGCACCCGGCCAAGACAATCTACCTGCGGCTCTTTTTTAAAGATGGTGGAGAGACTCTCGTAAGAGCCTTAACTGGATTATTCAGGAAGGTGTGGGAGATGGAGGATGTACCAATCAATGTGGAATGAAGTCATTATCATCCACATCTTTTTATTAGGGTCTACGTAACACATGTGGCAACCATAGGTGTATCAGTCTGCTACTAGTTGCGTCTAAAATACTGGCTGCTATCTTGCTTCACAGGTTGTGCAAAACACGTGAGGGATTGATTCGCGAAGAGCAGGCTGGGTTTCGTTTAGATCGTGGATGCATTGATCATCTGTTCAGCCTTCGTCAGCTGTTGGAACACCGCCACACGTATTGCAGGCCAACAATCGTTGTGTTTCTTGATATTAGGGCTGCTTTCGTTTCGTTGGACAAAACTGTGCTCTGGAACCGTCTGTTAGAGAGGAGTGTATCTGAGAAGTTTGTGAACATCCTGAAATCCCTTTACAGAAATACCCCAGGTAGAGTGAGGGCATACAACCAACTATTATTAATGTTCCTAACCAACAGTGGGGTTAGACAGGGTTGCCCGATCTCTCCATTTCTCTTTAACTTTGCTATCGATGGCATTCTGGAGTCAGCTCCGAAGGATGTGCGTGAAGGTGGTGCAGATCTGCTCCCCGGAGAGACTTTTTGACCTCGAGTATGCAGACGATGTTGCCTTACCGTTTGACGGCATGCAGGCTGCCCAAATCGCACTTAATCAGTTGGTGATCAGTGTCTGTAAGTATGGTACGTGCTTTGCACCGTCCAAGTACAAAGTACTGTTACAAGATTTGCTGGAGCCCGTACCTGCACTGACTCTTGCAAGTGAGCCGCTTGAAGCTGTCGACGAGTTCGTGTATCTGGGTAGTTGTGTGAGTGCTGGCGGAGGGGTGACAGATGAGATTTCCAACCGTGTCATGAAAGCTAAGGTGGCATACGTTAACTTGAGCCACCTCTGGCGCTGTCACGACGTTAGCCTGGCTGTCAAAGGTCGGGTATACAATCCTTTGGTGTGTGTTGTCTTGCTCTACGTCTGCGGAACCTGGTCTCTCCGAGCTGAGGATCTGCGGCGCATCCTCTTGGTGCCATATTGAGTTGACTCTTGCTGTCATGATCCTGGAGGAGGTTGGTTACCACTGCATATCAGCTTTGAATGCTGCTGGAGATATCATGATCACAACTCCTTCAGTGTGCTCGTGGTTGTTATCTGGATTATTAACTCTTCAGTTGACAAGATGGAGAATTCACTTTCATTCCATCTGGTCTCACAGGATCCTAGCACTTCTCATACCTTTGGTGATCTGAGCAACCTTCCTATCTTCGAACATCTGCGGGTATTCATCGTCCCTATGCATAATTTTTGCTTTCATCGAAAGAAGACATCACCTGATTGGCTTCCCGAGTGCGTCATCTCTCCCTCCAATTTCAGCAAAGAATAAGTTTATTCTTTACGTTTTTCTGTGCGTTTGAGTTTCTGCAACGGAGTAGGATAACTAGCCGCACACCAAACTTTCCCCATCTCTCTGAGCTTAGCACCAGTTAGTAAACCAGTAGACGATGGAAGACTATATATATATATATATACAGAGAGAGAGAGAGAGAGAAGTCTATGACAAAAAGAACTGTGGGAATGCGATAGTACACGAGTTCATACCTGTATTTGATGTGTCACATAGTGACACAGTATTACTGCAGACAGCAAGGCCTATGAGGAAATATCAAACCTCATGTTGATTACACTATTCGCAAATAATATCAGCCATTCCACACCAGGCATGTTTTGTTCTTTGTTGTGTATCATCCATAAATTTTTCAAAATAGTAACCTCTTTGGGACATTTCTCCATCAGCGGCTTTTTAATTGACACAATTTACGACTACTTCCACGAAGATTCTACTTTATATACTACGTATATCTTATTTTAAGTAACACATATTGTAACGAGAGAAAACACGAGGATATGGCAACAGAATTATTCATAGGCAACTCGATGTACAGGTATAGGCAAAATACGTCTGGTATATTCAGAATCTCGATTTGCAGATATTTTCGATAGTGTGTTTCTTTGTCTTCCTACCACGTTTTCCATATTCATTTCTTCTCTTCGTCATAAAATCCACCTCTCCCCTATTCCATATTCTTGCAGACAACATACATATTTATATCCGTATCCATATATTACTTATAAATTTCGTCAGTAGCATACGCCACAATATCAAAACACTAACCATAAGGTATTTCGAACAGTTTATTGCTCGAAGTCGTATCAAGGTGGTCACACAACTAAGTTTATCAAACTGTACAACATCCCTGACTTTATTCTAAGCGTATTTGTAACAGGATTCCATATTTTACACTAAACTCCTAGAAACCCATGACAAAAGACAAAATACCACTAAAACGATACAACAGTAGTAAAAGAACAGTCACATAATTCAGGCATATATTTTTTTTAGAAATCGATCAGTAGTTTACACTCAACAGAAATAAAGTTAGAAAAAAGTCATTTGTGCCTGTGGAATGCAAAGGATAAACACAAACAGGTAACAGTAAATACTTCTAAACTTCTGAAAGTAACAATGAGTAGTCTTCGTGAGCTTCATTTTGACGAATTTTGAAAGAGATTCCATCTCCTTTGCTGAGAACAAAAAAACACAGAATATAATGGTCAGTTCATGTAATTTACTTATATTGCTGAACAAAATTCAAGCAATTGTTGGCAAAATCTGCCTAATAGTTGTAAGAATAAGAGTGTTGCTACTCGCAAATCAATTCACAATAAACTGTTCGAATAGTTCGTATCATGACTGCTTAAAGATCAGTAATTGAGAGAAAGGTTAAACGTTGTGATTCAAGTTTTTACACTAATGGGCTCCAACACTAGACAGTTTTGTCGTTCCTCTAATCCTCATCCACTACCACACAATTACACAAGCTTACGTTCTTCTATTGTTTTAGAAAAGCCTTGATTACACAAACAGACTTTTATACCTTACTGTACATATACGAATACTAATATAAGCTCATGCAACCTTATTTATCGAAGGATGAAAATTTTTCAGTATTTAAAACCCTACTGTGTTGTGTGTGATAGGTAATTTTCAACCAGTGTAAGTTGAAACACCAAGCAGATTGTATAAAGTGCTCAGTTCACACATGTACATTATGTTAATGATAGTGGTGGTGCTGTTACCCACTGAGCGGCTTATATATGTTACAATGAGCTGCAATTCACCGCCACACTATACAGTAAAACATCTGAGTCAGTGATGTACATTTCTCCTCAAAATGGATTTGAGCTAATCAAACAGACGTTATGTGCATATATCATCGCTCACATAATAAGCAAACTCGCCTAGTTAACTAGTTTCCTAGCAACCCCACACCACAAAAGCTATCAAACTGATAGAGAAACTTCAACACACAAAAAATATATTAAAAATACAATAAATTCAAAGAACGATCTTATTCTTCGCTCGAATCAGAGAGGCGAAATGACGCGGGCTGGTGAAAGCCTTCGGGAAGCCAGTCAGCCAGCCAATGTGTCTTCTCTCGATGAAAGCAAGAATAAGAATGAGGACGTGGAATGTCCGTACAATGTACGAAGCTGGGAAGGCTGTCCAGGTTGTCAACGAAATGCGATATGGCATAGAAGTGCTGGGTATCTGCGAGAGTTGATGGAATGGATGTGGATTATCAAAATTGTCAACTGGATAGTCAGTAATCTACTCCAGTCTGGTCACCCAGACGACAACCACGAGAACATTGAGGGAGTGGCTGTAATGATATTACCGGTGGCAACCAAAGCCCTAATGCAGCTGGAATCAATTTCATCCAGGATCATGGCAGCAAGATTCAATTCAAAAGGCAGGAAGGAAGGTAACAATTATCCAGTGCTACAAACAACGCGGAACAAGACAAGAAGTAGGAATTTTACAGACAACTGCAAACAGTAATGGACAACATTCCAAATGGTGACATCAAAATCCTTATGGGCGACATAAATGATAAACTGGGAGCAGACAATACAGGAAGAGAACTACTCACGGGTCGAGAGGCTCTCGGAGAAATGAATGAGAACGGAGAACTCTTCGCAGAATTCCGCGCCTTCAATGATTTGGTGCTCGGAGGTGGCCAGCGTGTACAAGCACAAGGATAAACACAAGGTAACATGGATTTCGCTTGACGGACAAATCACACACTAAATAGATTTCACCGAGGAAACTTCAGGATGAAGCTGAAATCCTTCAGAACTGGAGACAGACCACAACTCAAGTTCAACATTCAGAAAGTGAAGGACAAAACTACAAGGAATGTCTTCACTCCAGAACAGATCAGAGCGAAGTAGGAGACACTATGTGGTATCACTGTGGAAATCTGTGTGGAAGAAAGCTGAAAATAACTTTCTGAAGGTGATGTTCAAGGAAACGTGTACAACTGTTCTAGGAAGAAAGAAGAGACGAGACGAGAGGTGGCTCTCAACGGATACCTGGAAGCTAATCGAGGAGAGGAGAGAATGGTGAAGGAGAAGATGACTCAATGCAAAGATGGACAACAGGAGGAGAAGCTGGGTTCAGTGTGCACTGCATTGAATAAACAAGTGAAGAAGAGTGCCAGGAAAGACGAAAGGCAACTCTACGACACACTCACAACTGAAGCAGAACAGACAGGCAGGCTGCAGGTGAAAGAGACCTCAGGATATTATATCAGATAACCAGGTGTCTATCCGGCAGAAGATCAACGTAGGTGATACCTTTAAAAGATGTTCAAAGGAAGCTAATTACCAAGGAGGAGAAACAAACAAAACAATGGGTTGATCACTTTAAAGGACTCCTGAATCGACCATCACCTGTAACTTGCCCAGAAATACCACCAACAGCACGCAGAGAACTGCCTGCTAGTTGACACCAATCCTCCAACTAAAGCTGAAATCCCTAATGCGATCAAGCTACTGAAGTCTGGAAGAGTAGCAGGACCATATGGAATTCCCCCCTCCTCTCCGAAGCACTGAAAACGGACCCAGAGACTGCGTTAGACGTGCTCACGCTATTGTTGCAAAAGGTTTGAAAGGAAGAAAAGGTACCTTGTCAAACTGCCAAAGAAGGGCAATTTACGCCTCTCTCCGCAAGAACTGGCGTGGAATAATGCTCTTGTCCACGCCAAGTAAAATACTAAGTCGCCTTTCATCCCAGAGAGAATAGAAGATGCACTGGATACAGAACTCCGCCCACAGGAACAAGCTAGATTCAGGAAAGGCAAATCATGTGCTGGTCAAATTGAAACTCCACGCATCGTCATCACAGAACAAAGCACAGAATGGCAGTCAAACCTCTACCTCATCGACTTCAAATAGGCCTTCGACAGGCAGCGTTGACGAAGAAGTAATTTGGAAACTACTTCAACATTATGGAGTGCAGTGCCTAAGTCTGTATCAACCTCATTCAACAGCTGGCTTTGTGACAATGCCACGTGTCAGGTGATCCACAACGGAAAACCCAGCGAGGAGTTCGAAGTGAAGACAGGAGGAAGACAAACTGCCTGCCTATTATCACTGATGATTTTGTTAATTGTGGTGGACTGGATTATGCGCCAGACTGTGCATTGGGAGCGAGGAGACTGTAGTACGCTGGACCACCGACAAGAAGACTCTAGAAGATCTGGTCTTCGCGGATGATATAAGTCTGATGTCACACAAACTCGAAGACTTACAGGTGAAAACCAACAAAATGGCTGAAGACGCTGCCAGCGAAGACAGGACTCCAGGTGAACATAGAGAAGACAGAGGTGATGAATACAACCAACGAACCGCAACAACAACAACCAGCACCAATCAGCATCAACGGGAGAGATTCAACAAAAGTTGCCTCCTTCACTTATCTAGGAAGCATCGTTTCAACTAGAGGCGGAACGGACGAAGATGTCAAAGTCAGAATCGGAAAGGCAAGATGCGACTTTATCAAGCTGAAACCAGTTTGGAAAGCTTCCGCACTCAGCATAGGGAACAAGATTCTCACTTTCAACACAAATGTGAAGTCCGTCCTTCTATGCGGGTTAGAAACTTGCACTGCGTGTCACAAAAAGGATTTCCAACAAGTTGCAGACTTTCATCAACAGCTGTCCGCTTCGCTGGCTCCATACTGAAGATCAAATGGCCAAAAAGAATTAGCAACAAGAAACTGTGGGAACAAACCAACGGGCGAGAGCCGATCGCTGAACAAATATGTGGGAGGAAATGGAATGGATCGGACATACATTGAGGAAATCGTCGAATTACATCGCGCGCCAGTCCCTTCAGTGGAATCCCAATGGGAAGCGATGAGTGGGTCGTCCTAGGGTGACAGGGAGGAGATTGTGTGAGGAGGGGATGAGAGATCATGGTCAGTCATGGACCCAGCTGAAGAGGACAGCAGAAAATAGGAGAAAGTGAAGGTTTTGTTGAGGCCCTCATTTCCACTCGGAACCCAAGGGAATAATAATATAATTACCTCTATAATGTTCAATAATCATACACATATACTTTCGAACACTTACAGTAATACTCTGTATGTAAAATAATAACGGTTGTTTATTTAAATTATTGCTTTTTGTTGCCTGTTAAACGAGGTGACTGAGAATTTCATAATTCGTAATTTTCATTTGCACCTTCATGCATCAGACCAAATCAAACACATCTATTACATATTAGGTAATGATGCAAATTAGTCTGAAATGGTGATGAATACTGTTAACTCATGATGTGAGAATCCATAATAAATTTTCGTCTGAGCTGTGGTCTTAATGTTTTGACTTCACAGTAGGCAGTATCACCATGACAACGTGAAATAAACTAACTGTGATTACTTATCCTATTTTGCCTTATTTATTTAGATTATGTATATATATATATACGTTCCCAGTGGAATATAGGGCTTCAAGTGAGAGGCATGAAGTTTCGGTAGCAGTGGTGTTTATTTTTACGGGATGGGGTCGCTAGCCTCATGCCCAACCTCCCCTCTTTACTAGTCTTATAACTAGCTAAGCAAGGTAAATGAATGCGTCGGCCGGGAATCAAACCCCGAACCACCTGTGTGGTTGGCAAGCATTCTACCGCTGTGCCACCGACGCCCCTTCTTGTATGTAACATTCAGTAATTGTAGATATTTATGCGTGTTTAGGCGATCGCGAAATATTAGTATAGAAATGGGTTCTAAAATACTGTGGTAAATGAAATTATATCACAAGAAGATGAAACTTTGATATTAGAAATGGCTTGGATGTTGTACGAAACACTTTCAAGGATACACGACCTGCCTCATTTAAACGAAACTAATTTTGTCAAATATGCTGATAATCTGACTGTATCACTGCCTATCACTTCCGAGTCTGACTGCTCCAAGCTTAATAGCTTTCTGTTGGACATCAGCAAGTGGTCTAAGTCAAATGGTCTTATGTTAAATCCTTCCAAATGTCAGGCAGTTAACTTTACTTTCAAGCATCGACGTGACATACATGAACTAGTTAGTTCCCATGATGCCCGTAGCATAGATGGCACGGAAATTGAAACCAAGTCAAGCATTAAATACCTTGGATTAGTTCTTTCCTCTGACCTTTCATGGTCATCGCACATCTTATTAATCTCTAAGAAAATGTTTCGTCTTACCTTCTACATTAAAAAGTTAAGACAATCAGGTATCAACCAACCTTTAGTTCTGCAATTTTTAAACTCCTGTATTTTACCTATTGTACTCTATTGTTCTCCATTAATCTTTCCTGGGCTTCTTAAAAAAGACTATGTCATATTGCGAAGGGTATTAAATGCTGTGAGTAGGGCTTGTGGTTTGCCACTGAGTGAGCTCGCCAATACTATAGTCGAGAGACACGTAAATTCCTGTACAAAGTGGGCAAAGGCCGTACTGTCAGACCCTCTGCACCCTCTTTATTCACAACTATCCCCTTGTATCTCATCAGGTAGGACGAGAAGTCAATATAAGAAGTTATATGCTCGAACCACTAAGTACAAAAATTCTACAATACCGTATTTAGCCCGTATTTTATGTTATGAAGACTCTGTTAGACGTGAAACATATAAGTTACTATGTAATTAGCATAGTGAATCGAACCTTTCATTGTTCATCTTTCTGTAATTTTATGGTGTCACCCTTTCTATCGTTTAATTATAACTTTGCTATTTTTATTTTAGTTGTTATTACTATTATTACTATAATTTTATACTTTATGCGTATTTCTCTCCGTACTGCTTACAGTAATTTGCTAAATAGCTGCTATAAAAACGTTTTGTTATCATTATTATGTAATGATTATTTATTTTATTTATTTTTGTTGTTGTCGTTTTTGAGTAAATTAGATGCAATATTGTACTGAATGCTGAAAATTCCTTGCTGTATCATTAGTAATGTTTTTGGAATAAAGCATATTATTATTATTATTATTATAAACTGGCCTAAAACTCCACAAGTAGGTTCCACTTGAATTCGTTAGATTCTCCTGTAAGATATTGCTAATCTAAAACACCAATCACTTAACAATTAAAGGTATCTTCACTTTCCGACCGACCAATACTGAATTGATTTCTATTTAACTTTAGCCTTTAATTTAGTGAATAATGTTTGTAAACAAGAACCACCTTGTTCTCTTTTTGTCTGAGAAAAACAGTTATTGTAAACAACCTAAAATTACATTCCAATGGTCACAATATTTACTTTTACAAACTGCTAATTATAATCTCTTTTATCGATTGATTAGTATAATACTGTTTGAGTAATATTGGTGTTGATGAGTCTCGCTTACGGCGCAGGACGTAAATCATGTTGTATACAATTATGCATCAATACAAATTCCAACATACTACTTTCCAGTAGATAAATTCGATCTGTAAAAAGTTTTCTAACATTGCAATAAACAATAACGTATCTCAAAGTGTTGACTTGCACGGATTTAGTTGGTTCGCAACTGGATCACGCACTAATATCAGTCGGAGAACCACAGAAAACCAGCGAGTACACTGGACAGTTGTTTCGTCTTCGTTTAGGATTTTTCAGCACTATGCACACATGACCCTACCGGGGATCCAGCCCGAGGCATACAAGGGTTTACAAGCGAAGAGTCTTACTAGATCTATTTTGAATAAAGTTAGCAAAATATACACATCGCATTGCATAAAGCAGAATTTCTAAGTACAACAACTGTTACTTACCTAGAGAATACAGGAAATAGCCAATAGGTAATTTTATCGCCAAATACCTGAAGAAAGTTCTCCTTCCAACCAAGATCAAAACCGTACACACAATTGTTTTTATCACGGAAATTCGGTCGTCTAAAGTATTCTGAAATGAGACATTTGAAAGACAAAATCATTAATAAAACGTATTTGATAATGGCAAGTAATATTATTTATTAGTGAGAAAAAACCTTACCTAGAGTAGACCTATTTCTGATAATTAGGTAAACGTGAAAAAGTAGAAGGATTGACAATGCGAACGCGAACACAGCCGATAAAAGTGCCAGCATAAATGCTTGGAATAGACTCCATGTGTGATTACTGCTGTCACGATTAGCCTAAGTAATAATAACAAAAGTAACGATAGCAATCAGAATATGGTAGTAATAGAATAATCGAAACTAACTCAATAATGATAAAATTTTGTATAACGTACCTTTACATAGCCGAGAAAATAAGGCGAAGCAAAGGAGAAACATATTAGACAGTATATAAAGCCGTAGAAGATGAAGAGAATGAAATATTTGTAGTTGTGATAACCAACACAGTTATTTATCCAAGGACAATGATGATCCATTTTCGGAACACATCTAAAAGAAAGACAAAAACAAGAGCCTATGCATGATATACAAATGTAGTAAATTAATAGTCTCATAAGTGATAGCCTGATATTTTCAGGCAGTCTTACGCAGGAAAAACAATGCAGAATATGATGAAGCCTTGTGTCACTGTAAACTGTCTTACTTCTTAGTTTACATAACGAGGGAAAACTAATAGAACAAGAAACTGAGAGAATGACTAAACCGATGTTAATAATTATTCAACTCAAACAGCTCAGTAATACAATTCACCTTCTTATACTTACATAATGAGCTCAACTATATCGGCTTGAAATACTACGAAATCAACAGTTGCAAAGAAATACAGAAGCGATGCGCAAAAGACAAAGTTATATGTTGTTTTTTCTTCGGTCCATTGCATCCCGAGTGGAACATAGGACTTCAAGATTGAGCTTTGAAGTTTCAGTCGCACTTGTGTGTATTTACCGGTGGGGTTTTTAGCTTAACTTCTAACACTGCCTCTTTAACGGGTTAACTACCGGCTAGTCGAGGTTTAGGAATACGTCACCAGAGAATAGAAGCCGGACCATGTACACGGTTAGCAAGCATTCTGAAACTGAACCACCGAAGCACGTTATATGTTGTAGAACACTTAAAAGATACTTTGTGGATATATTTTTGCCATCGTAACTGATTCTCAGTCGGTTTGTAAGTGAATATAAGGAAAGATAATAGTTGATGAGTTACGTAGATTTCTAGACGATACTGAAATAAAAGAAATATATCTACTAAACTCCACTTATAACTACCAAATCAAGATAGGTGAGCCAGTCAATTCTCTGTAACTTCTTGATTAAAGAGAAATACTCAGTTTATGCAGTAAAAGTGACTTCCTCGAAAAGACCGTCATGACGTTAGACCATATTACACATTTACTGTTAGTAGCTGATGCATATCACTTAACGGAAACTTAGTAGATAGGTTTATAATCGAATACTTAGGTCAGTGAGCCAAAGCTCCTCAATTAATTTTATGATTGAGGTACATTACCTAGAACTTCGACATAGTAGCCTTAACTCTCATACAATAGTTTAGTAGCAAAATTGATGGACCTACAGTTGTTTGTTCAATTTTACAAACACTCATTTTTAAAATGAACGAATGACAGTGAGTTTTACCAGTTTTATAGTCGAAAGACCACATCTATATCCCATTTTTGAGAACTTTGGATAATCCAGATGAAGTTCCTAGTCTGAACTACTCTATTTGACTCAATATACTTGACTCAAATAAAAATCAGTGAATACCTGTCATGCAGGCGATGATCTTCACGGTCAAGATTAGAGATGAATACACAATTCAATGGTTACCGGTTAAACTTCAAGATAGACGAATCACAAAATTTCCCAACATCCACCTTTTGAACTCAAGACAGAATACAATTCATTATTTGCTAAATACGCAGTTCGAGATAAAAACCCATTACGGCTTCTTTTAGTAACCCAGAATATTCAGATCGCAATATGTAATATGAGCGACATTATAAACTGTCGAAGTTCAAGTGGTTTGATCTGATTTCCCTCAGTGGAATGAGTCGGTCTGAGTACTCTGTTGATGAGCTCAGTCGAAACATGAGCGAAACCACTATCCAGCTTTTAGACCATATCGATTAGGCCAGCTATGAGCCACACATTTTGCATGAGGCCTGATGATAGTATTCAGTTGTCCAGGTGAACGCAGGTGGGGCGGGATTCAAACCCGCAAAACACTGGTTGAAATTTGAGTGGTTAGGCATTTCTTACCAGCAAGCACTACTTACTAGTTGACGTGAGTCTTCTCCAACTACACATACCAATTAGCGGCATATATCACCTTGCAAGTGAAAATACAATTATTTAAACTACGTGCATAACAGAATGTAATGAAAGTAACTTGTAAACATTATAGAATAAAAACAATTAATAACTAGGAATTGATTAACAGTTTATATATATATATATATATATGTACCTCATACAACTTGAACAATGATGTGTACGATCTGGTTTCAAAAGGAAGCATATGTCACAGAACGGTGGATTGATTGTCTTTCCAATAGTAAGTATAGACAGTTGCTTTTTGTCAACTAAATTACTTAAAAATGCTGATCGATCATGGTCATTTTCTAATTCTATGAAAATTTTTGTCTCATTTGCTGAAAGACAGAACTGTAAAAGGACAAACATGAACATCAAACAAATAGGCATACTTTCTTTGGTATTGAAGTTACTCTAGCAAAGGTGGATTTCCAAAAAGACAAAATGAATAAGACGAATATAACGTGATATGGAATGAAGAACAAGACTGA